TGTTGTTTGTGAGCCATCCAGGGCTATGTTGCATAAGATGGGGGGGGGGGGCTATATAAAAAATTTTAAATAAGTAAATAAATAATCTAACAATTCTTATTTGTGACTGAGCTCCACTGAATTAAACTGAATGCATTATTGACTAAGCCTAATTAGAATTACATTAGTAATCTTATATATTTCCTTGAGGCTATTTTGACTATACCCTTTTTTGTGCCTTCAAGTCATTCGTGACCCCTGGCAACTGCCTGGCAGTTTTCTTGCCAAGATTTTCAGAAGCAGTTTGCCAGTGCCTTCTTTCTATGGCTGAGAGACAGTGAAAGGCCAAAAGTCACCCAGATGGCTTTGAGCCTAAGGGAGGACTAGAACTCACAGTCTCCTGGTTTCTAGCCTGATATCTTTAACCACTGCACCAAACTGGGTCTCTGACTATATATAGGCCTCCTCTAGAGTCTATTACCTTCCTCCGATTCTATGGATCCTGGCTTTGTTTACAGAACTCAAACCTGGACAGCTATTTAGTTTTCCCTTACGTTATATGTCTTTAATCTTGTCTCCTAAACTGGAACTTCTAACAGACACTTCCTGGCATAAGTTCAAAGAGGTAGTTAAGTACCATCTGTGTACTATGGAATCTTCTTTAAAAGCAACTCAAGGTTATTTGAGGCTTGAGAACCACTGGATCCATGTTTGACCCAATATGGAAGTATTCTAATTTGTAAATTCCAAACATCAAGCTACAGCCTTCCAACTGAACAATATCATCTTAACAAAGTACTGTCCTGAATTGCACACTAGGCAATATACCATCATTAAGCAAGTTGGGTATTAGCAGTCACGAATCAGGAATGCAATTCTCTCCTTTATTTGGTTACAGGCAGCTATCCTTTTCTGCAATGTATCCATCCTTTACTGAATGTAATAGATTGTTTGCATTCACAAGGATACTGTAATTATCCAACTTGATTCTTAAATAAAATTGTCAAATGTATGTTGAGAAGCTGCATGAACTTTCAGTGTTTGACTATAGTTTATAACCTAAACCAAGCCAGGGCCAAATGATACATAAACAGCTGTGCATCTTGATCAGAAGTGAGAAAGATGAGTTATTTGTGCTGGAACTTGGGAATGAAAGTAACATGTTTACCCCTTGCAGATAAAACACCATGTCCCCTTTTCACTTCATTATTACATATTCCTTACACTTCTGTTAGGCAAAACCATCTTCTGTTGGCTTAGAATTAGAATTCAGGCTTTAAGTTCCAAAGCCCTAAATGGCTTAAAAGTTAGTGTTTTTTTTTTTTTTTTTAAACCTGACTCTTCCTCCAGGTTCTTTGAATGAACACAGTTCTGAATGTGGCATTAAAAGAGCATGAAACCTTGCATGAAAGAAAACTGAGAAGCACTGAAGTATATAGTCCTTGTAGGAAAAGTCCATGTAGGTTCTTCAGCAATGCAATTAATGATGTTGATGTTCAGAGATAAAGACATTCATTTATTTATTGGGCTTTTTTATTTCTTGGCTTTAGATACTGCTCCAATCATTCTCAACTCTGAGTGGCATATATCCCTACCTGTAAATCAGGCTTCAAAATGCATTTTAATTATAATAAATGCAAGGCTGGCCCGGGAATTCTGGGAGTTGAAGTCCACACATCTTAAAGTTGCCAGGGTTGAGAAACACTGATCTATACTATAGTATAGATTATCCCTATTGTTCCTATTACAAAATAGAGGAAAAACCAGAGTCACCTAAGAATAGGACTGAAATCACTGGACAAAAAGCCCCTTCCTCTACGTAAAAGCAGGCAACTGAGCCACACATAATATGTATAAATTAGCATAGATATCTGCAAAGAAGCATTGTGTATGAAGAGTTACTCACATGTAAGTGACCTCTAGCAGATACCCCTGCTGAGTAAATGGCCATGGAGGAACATGTCCAGTAGTACTACCCTAATTTTTCACCTTCATCATAGAGGCCTCTGAGAGGAATTACACATGAAAGGGGATTCTCTTTCCCTTATTTCAATAGCATCCCACTCTCATGAAAGCTTGATGCTTGAGAATTACAATTTTCAGCCTTCAGAAAAAATAAAATGAGGAGAGTAGAAAAAGGTGGCACAATGTTCATTTGGTTGGTAATTAATTCACTGTTCAAAATTTAAAGCTTATCACCTGAAGTCTATCTTCTACTGCAATAAAGCCTACTCTTTGAAGCCAAGAACATGAAATGCAGCCTTGTCACTAATGCTCCCTGCTGGACAGCTTTTAAAAGAATAGCACAGCTACTGCCTTTTTTCCCTTGTAGAATGCCCTTACAGATCAGACTCCACACAGAGGAAGAAATTAAGATACAGGCAGTCCTCATTTAGTGACCACAATTGGGATCGGCAACTCAGTCATTAAGCAAAGCAGTTGTTAAGTGAAACTTCAACTGTGCTTACGATATTACTTCAGCATTCCTTTGCTTCACAGACCTGCGAAGGTCATGAATATGAGGATTGGTTGCAAAGTTACTTTTTCATCACTGTTATAACTGTGAATGATCGCTAAAAGAGGCAGTTGCTAAATGAGGACTCCCTGTATGTGACAGTCTTCACATAATGGAGGTGATTAATTTATCTGCTGTGCTGAGTTCCTTAAAGGCGTTTCTTATGTTTATTGTTAGGGGCACAGAAAGTAGCCTTTTGGTGAGTCTCAGAACCTGGAAACCCTAGAGGAGCCCATGAATCACTCAGTGGACTGGGGTGAAACCATTATGTGGCTTGTTTGGTTTTAGCTTAGTTAAAATGTTTGGTGAAACCAGACACTGTAGTTTGTAATAAATAATTTATGGCTTAGTAGGAAGTAAAAACTCTGACTATAGCTTATTAAATAAATCATGATTAAGCAAATCATGGCTCTGTACATTCCTATCAAAAGATGGGGCATCACAAGCCTTTTCTCCTCCCTGCTTGCCTGTTCCAGATAATACACAAAAGTGAAATGAACTGTCCATTTGTAAAATGTGAGGACAAACTTAGATAATTTGCAACACAGCTGGTTCTTCATGTGCATGTACCAGTTTTCTGATAAAAAAAAGTGACCTTACCATTAAGGAGCCAGGTGACCTGAGGCACAGGTGTCCCCTCAACTGAGCACCGAAGAGTAAAATCTTGCCCTTCACTCACGTGGCAGGATTTCAAGACCCGGGGAAAATGGGGAGCTACCTCCTTCACTTTTGGCCCTACAAATCAAAGCAAGAGGCCTCTAATGAAACTCAGTGCTAATAGTTGTTCTCAGAAGAAAGTATTATAGACCAATGACAAAATTATTCCTTAAAGAGAAGAAAATACTGTAGCAGGTGTTTTACTAATGCAGCTGGAACTTAGCAAAGCTAATTAAAACTTTAGTTACTCCTAGTCAAGAACCTCAGAAACAATTCCTATGAACTGAATTTATTCTAAAATTGAGAATGCAAATTGATATCTATAAATTATTTCTTATTTGTTCATCATTCACATTTCTAAAGTTGCCTACTTCTAGGCAGCACATAAATTTAAAACCAAAAACACATCACAAAGGAACATCACATCCCACCCTAGCCCAAAGCTTGGGGAAAGAGCCAGATCTTTAAAAGGATGTAGCACTGGCATTATTTAGTGTATTTTATACTATGAAAGAGACAATCCATCTTTTTCTTTTCACAGATTGAGAAAATACTATGTACCTAAACAGTCATCTGAGGATACTTTGCAGCTAAAAGATGCTTACTTTTTACAGTTAATAGCCACCTGGTTGAAGCTTGGCCTCCAGGGTTGAAAGCTTTGCAAGAATAAAATCCGCTGTCTTCCAGCTGGTTTTTTTTCAGGCATAAACAATGGACCCCATCTTCTTCATATATCAGGATGCTGTCTCCTGTTTCCAGAGGGGCTCCTTCTTTGAACCATTCAACATTTGCCTTAGGCTTTCCTGAAACTAGTTCATCACAGGTAGATTAACCATGGAGACTGAGCTTTGAAGTTTATATTTTCACAATGTCCCAGTATTTTTCTTGGCTACCAGCATTTCCTACTCTGCCCTTTAATGAGTACCCATAATTTTTGACACTGCTAAAAAGTTAGTCAGGTCAACAAATATAGTTTGGATTTTACGGTCATAGTCTTAGTTGCAAGAATATGATATGACATGTTGTTTGGAGAAAGTTGAATTTGAAAACTTTTACAAGAAAGAATCAGAGCAGAACATTTTCTTGGCTCACCTAATTGATCTCAGTCAGCAGACTTAAAAAGATTTTACGTGGATCTAAAGGACAGTACTGCAGAATGAGATACATTTTGCAAGTTTTCCTTCAGATTTTTTTTTAAAAATGAGTGTAAATGAAAAAGTAATGTTATATTATTTTTCAGTTTTTAATTTTCAAAGTTAAAACAAGCCAATATATAATATCAAAATCCACTGAACTGTGCTTGAATTTAATTAAGAGAGTTAATGATATAAAAACATTAACCTCTTTGTCCTAAAAAGTTAAAACATCTTCCCTCCTGTGAGTTTGCTATCTTTGTCTAGCCAACATGCAGTAGCAGGAGGGATATTTTTGACCGCTTCTCCATGTAAAAGAACAAGCGTTAGTTGTAAACTAACTCTCTGCTAATTCTCCTAGATTCCTACAGTACTTTCTTTAGAACATGGAAAGGCTGTAATAGATGTGATTCTCTCTGTGAAGTCTAAAGTAGTACAATCCAGTCTATTCTATTCCCTCATGCTTCTACATGCATACACATGTGTGAGTAATATGTCTTTCGGATTTCATCATCAAATTCAAAAGCTGAAAGCAGGGGTGTTATCTAGCCAGTTTGATCTATGTGATCTGATTGTTATTTTTTTTTTTTTTGGCTCCTCCTCTTCCTGAGGAGGCAGCATGTTGGGTGCCGGAGCTGACCACGTACATCACTCTAGACAGCCTGGATACTGTGCTTCTTACACTTCATCTACTTTTTGCAGAAGATGAAGCCTCACGAAGGGAGGCTGGTGTGCTGTGCAACTTGAAATAATCATACTTACCTTATAGTTACAGTAAGTGAGGGAAATAAAAGGTCAACCCATTATTGCCCATGCTAGGTAAAAGCCCTGTCTGGAAGAATCTCAACCCCTGTCAATAGTAAAACAAAAAACAAAAAAAAACCCACCCTTTGATATCTCTGATGAAATGGCCATCCAGCATCTGTTCAGAAATGTCCCCGGAGGTATCAGTAAGTACCTACTTACCTCTGCACCTAAATGTAACCTCTTCTCCTTCTAGGGTTTCCTGGCTTTGAGGCCGACACTCAAATTGAGGAGGGATCCTCTGAATCTTTGTATCTACTGTGCTCTTCTTTAATTCAGTATGATCTTCCAGTTCTTCAGTGGTCAGATTATCTGGCTTGGTAGAAGCAGCAGCCTGCCATCCTGCTGCTAGTAATTGCTTTGTTTTTCCCCCATTAACTTCCTGTTTAGAGGAAACTGCCTTTAATTCTGGTTTGGGTCCAGGTTGTATTTTCACAGATCGAAGAGTTATAGTGCTTGATGTTTTTTGCAGAACTTGATGGCCTTTAGGTGGTCCTCTGGGTTCCTTCACTGGTTGCAATTTATTCTCTCTGGCTTCTTTGGGTGAGGCAAGGTGAGACTCTCTCTTCACAAATGGCCTTTCTTTGGGTTCAAGCAAAAGCTCTGTGGTAGTTGATTTGAGTTCTTTAACTATCCCATTGCTAGTGGGCTTTTTGAATTCTGGGGTTTCAATAGCTTTGGTAATAATGGTGGATTTTGTAGAGGCACTGGGTTTTGCTGATGTGCTAAAGAGAAAGTATTTTCTTAAGTCAAGAGAACAATTTATAAAAGTAAATTTAAATTTTTGTTTAATGTTTTTGAACGTTAATTTTAGGTAGATCATTTGATTTCTGTTCCATGATATTGTTTCACATCAAACAATAATATTGTATAGCATTTTATGTAAAAGGAACAGAATTTCAATTTGACATGCTACTTTTATGTGAACAAGATGATCAGAGAAGGATGAGGTAAGCATTTAAAGATTTGATCCTACATCTTTAATCTGAATGGTACAAGCCACCCATTATAAGACCAATGCATATATTATGAGGCAAAACCAAGTAAAAATCCCGTGTCTGGTCTTCAGTATCTTCAGTTAAAATTTTTTCATGAAACAAGGCTTGAAACATTCAGTTCCACTGTAAGTTTAATGGGTGAGCTTTTTAGGAATAGGAACAGAAAACCTCTACAACAGCATACCATACTTTTTTGCCTACTCAGCTAGAGATATCCTTGCTATCAAGGTTACAGATTTTTTTTTTTTTTAATTGACCTATGTTCCCTAAAGCTTCAGATATGATGGTGGATGTTATCACAGGCTCATTAATGTCATCCTGTGCCATGCATTCTGTGGCAGAGTCACTTTAAATTTTAAAGTAAGTGCTGCAAGATCACTGAAAGGGGCAGTCATTGCCACATCATCATGGCAAAGTAGCAACTGTCCAAGACCCTTTAGATAGCCACTCATCACTATTTCATCAGTTACAGTTGGGAGATCTTGCAAATGTCTAGCCCTCTCGGAGGGTCACTGTTAACATTCTCTTCCGCTTCTCTAATATGTGCAGTCAGGGAATAGGAACTCGGATACTCCAAGTAAGTTATGTCTTGTACGATTCAGATCCATCATATTCAAACAAATGCAAGGCAGCCAAACAAAGCACATTTTATTCACCTACCCATTGTGGATTCAAATTTAGGCTGTGCACACTTCAAAAATTACTAGGCACAAGCACTCTGAATCTTGCACAAGAGTGAGCGCGGCACCTCTTAGCTATCCATTAAACTGTATATTTAGTAGACTTCTGTATAAGCCTGAAAGAATGCTGGTGCTTTTAGAGTCACATTTTTGCTGCTTTAATGATTTATTAAAGCAGTTGCAGCTTTTTTTCAGGCTCCCAAGAAAGCTTTGATGAATAGCAGAGAGCTAGTGTGCTTGCTTTAGGTCTCAAGCACCACTTCTTAACCATGCACAGCTCTACTCCAAATGCTTTACAATTGGGGTCAGCTCCCTCACTGCAAAGTTTAAAAAAGAGCCAAAATCTCAGAAGTCAACTAAATTGCAAGACCTCAGTTTTCTCACTGGAGATCTCAATAGATTGGGTCACTTCTATTTTTTTAAAATTATTATTACCTTTAAAAACTTTTCTTGGGCCTATAATATTGGGCAAAATCACGTAATGGTGCTCACTGACTGAAAGCTGTAATCCCTGTTACGTAGTGCTCACCCATTCAAAAGCTGAAATACTCCATTGCAGGAGCCCCTCTACAACCATACACCACGTTTGGATATTGCAGATTCAATGATGTAAAGAATTCATTGTCATTCATTAGGTAAGCTGAAGTTTTAAACAATAATAAATTTTGTTATCTATATAACCCAGAGACCTGGTTTGGGGTGCAACCTGAGGGGCAGTCTAGGTTGTCAATTCTAGCCCCTACAGCCTATGCAGAGAGGGCAGAGGTGGGTGGGGGTCCCTCCTGTGTGTGAGAGTTGGGCTGCTCCTCTCTAGTGTGAGAGACAGGGAGGGGAGCCCAAGAGTGAATGTATAGAGTGCGAATGAGGGTTTGAGTATTGTAAGGATACTTGCCCCCCACCCTGAGAATCAGGGAGCGAGGGGAAGTGGATTGGGTACCCCCTCCTGACTAGTGAGAGAGGCAGGTGAAGGGGGCACAGTGGGCGGTAGTGAGTGGAGGGGTTGGGGGTTAGGGCTCCAGCGCTGAGAGCAGTAGCTGAAGTCCTGAGGAGCCCA